GCAATATTTAAATCCATGATACAGAAAAAGAAAATGGGATTGCAGTGTCCTTATGATCAGTTTCTTAACAATTAGCAGGATTCAAAGTGCCTAATTTTAAGGAAAACTGTGAGAATGATTTAATGTAAATATCCTAAGATCTAGGGTAGGACATTCAAAAAACTGGATGCATTATCCAATGCTAGAAAAAAATAATATAACACCCCTTCCCTTCAGATAGACTCAGCTGTGTCCTGGTTTTGCTTAAACAGGTTAAACTTGGGAATAGTTGGGCTGGTTTAAAATTAATATACGTTCCATTACATGAAGGTCCTCTGGTTTTTATATGCAAATCTTCGTGTATCCGAGTATAGTCTTAGCAATGGGTTAGTGCCTTCACTTGTATCCCAAGGTGCAGTGTACTGGAGCGCCTTTCACAAAAAAGTTTGCATGGAATTAGTCACAGCACTTTGTAGTTTGTTTTGCGTTTTGAACACCAGCATTATCAATGCATGCTTTTCTTCTTTAAATGGCCTAAGGATGAAGAGCTGAAACTTGTGTGTAGCATCATCATCTTGTTCAGAAAGTTGGCCTGAATAAAAGTCTCTTCTGATTTGGGTGAGAATCAAAACAAATATGAAGTGACAGGCTTATCGTTTCCCCCATCTTGGAAAGGTATGAAGAGAGGTGGAGGTATCTAATTCTTTGATTACAAAAAGTCAATTTATTTGAAGGTTCTCTTGGAGAGAACATAGCACAGGAATTGGCTCAGTTGTTAAGAATGGGACTAAGAAGAGGACCCAGTCAGACCAAGCGCCTGTGAGTTGGTCTGTTCCTGGAGCAGATTATAGCAAAATACTGATGATTGCATTGGTTTTCACTGTTCTGGGCTGCATTATTTGGAAGTGTGCAAGAAGGGAGACTGGATAGGAATGAAGCTGATACCTCTCTTTCTCTGATATTCAGCCAGAATGTGCTTGGGGGAGGGAGTTTAATGATGTACATGAGCGTATGAGCTGATGGATGGGAATCCTGGGCTAGTAGTTTGCAATGGACAAGAAACCACGTAGGTGAGTCAGAAGCAGAAGCTAGAGTTATCTTGGGATTTGTAAGGAGTGTAAGTGAAGAGAAGCACAAGTTTGTTGGGGAGTACTCACTTATTGAACAAGCAAAAGTGGAAAGTGGACTGCTTCTGGGCAGCCAGGAAAACATGAGAAAGTCCTCCCAAAAGTGGAATAAAAGTCCCCAAAACTTCATGAAAGCACAGCTCTAAGGCCCTTACACGGGAGAGGTGAAAGAGCCCTATGTGATACTTTCATTACATATAACTGCTCATGAATACCTGCCTTTGGAAAGATCTCCAGATTTTAGAAATATAGTGTCTCCAGGAGAAGCTTGTAAAAGTCAGGAGATGGAGTTTGATCCTCTAGAATAAAAGTCATGTGGAAATGTCAATACAATGTAGAAGGTGATTGTTTCAGAAGTCTGGTTGGTCTTGGTCTCTATGTGTCTAGTTCTTTGTAGTGGTAGTTTTGCAGCCCTCAGAGCCCTGGCTTAGGGCATCTTGAGTTATGTACCAATAATCCTACCAATATTGGAGTCTGTTCTCCATATATCTTACTCCAGTTTGCTCTCTTGCATTGCTGACTTCAGTGGCTGCATGCTGGCAAACTACAATAAAATTGTCTCTGCGAGTAGCAGGATCTGTACAAAAGTTGTACAGGGTCAACTCCTCTGCAGCAGTCCTCAGCACTTGAAAGAGTTCATGGGTGGCCAGGTCTCTGGGACAGATATAGACCAGTGCAAGAGTTACTGGAAGAGGATAACAGGCTTTGATGCAGTTAAGTTGTACAGCAGAGCTCACTGGTGTGTAATATGCTTTCCACCTTTCCTCTAAGGACTTTGCAATGTCTCCTGAATGTGAAATTGAGCTTCTTTTCCTGAGTATTGTGAAAGGTTCATTCTATATACTGAGAGGCTGTGATTCAGAGGACTAAACGACATGACTACCCTGCAATAGTGAGCAGGAGTCTGGGAAGAATGGAGTTACTGGTGTGCTATTCAAGTTTGAAAAAAGCTCAGTTCAGATTGAATCGAATTTTATTTCTTTGCCTTTTCTTTAAAAAATAATAAGAAAAAAATCAGTATATCAAAAGATGCATTCTTTTCAGAGTGAGCTGAAGCCTCCAGTTTTCCGACCCTTGTGCAGTTTATGGAAGGAATGATATGCTGTAGTGTCCCCAGTAGCAGTGGACTTGGTTTGACATTCCAGAGACCCTTATTTCTTTAACTTGTCATTCAGTCATCAGCACACTTACCTGGGATGTCAGATTATTGTTCAGTGTTATCCTGTGCTCAGAAGAATTTGAGCATATCCCCTGAATAAAATGCCCCAAATACTAGGCTGAAGTATGTGAATGTCTGTCCATTTCCGTTGATGAGGCTACTGTACTTATCTAAGAAAATGGATATTAATCTGAAAGCAAAGCAAGGCAAACATCCCATTTTAAAGCACGTGACCCAATCATAGCCATAATGTTACAGATCCTTGCTCTTTGGCTAAATGACTAAGGAAGCAATCAGGAACACCAGTTTGTAATGTGTCTCTACACCATGGTTTCCTGATCACAATAGTCTCCCGGGAGGTCCAGATCTCCTAAACAAACTGAACACAAATCCTTCACTTCCTTGGGTGAATGCTCAAGCCACTGAGACCAGCTTCTCTTCTGGAGGCTTTGTGAGTCTTGTCTGAATTTCTTGGATGTTGCTCAGGGAAAGGGGAGAGGAGGTAGAAGAGTTAGGAGTGAAGTTCCCCCCTGGGAAGAAGGAGGGGTATGGAAAAGGTGGTTTTAGTTTTGTTCTTACTTCTCATTAATTAATTTCTGTGAAGTCAAGTCTGTTTTGCCCATGACAGTAACTGATGAGTGATCTCCCTGTCTTTATTGTGATTGACAAGCTTTTCCATCATATTTCCTTCCCCTGTCCTGTTGAGGATGAGGAGTGATAGAGCAGCTCAGTGGGCATCTGTCGACCAGACAAAGTCAACCCACCACAATGCTATGTGTTAGACAGCCATAACTAGTTAGGCTGGAGCTGTGTCCAGTAAAACATGCAGAATTTTAGAGAGTTTTTGAAAACAGCCTCTGGCAATAAGGAATCCTGGTGGTTTGTTTCCATGAAAGGTACTTCTGGAGTATAAAAAAAGAGCAAGTGGAAGTCTTGCTACTGACCTCTGGCCATGTAACTGTTGAAATTCCAGTATCACAGCTCCTGTAAAGGTTGCTCCTTGCCAAAAGCACTTCACTGATGGGATTAGGAGGGTTATCTTGTTCAGCTGTATCCATTTCCTATGCATTCACCTCAACTCTTTCTTTGTGATGATCACATCTGTGACACCCAGGTGCTGTTGCCTCCAGGCTAGCCACTGGATAGAGCTAGTGGCAAGAGGCAGATGCCTGTGGTCCTGACTGTATTCACTCCATAGTGAACTGTGAGTGTTCTATCAAGATATGAGAATGATCTTGAATCCGTGGATATCTTTCACTAAATGATAGGTGTTCAAAACAATTTCAACACAGGGATCATGTCCTTTCTCCCAGAAAAAAAAAAAAGCTACACATGCAAAACTTTCTGTGGAACTACAGGACAAAGGCTTACTTCATGTTTGCATTGTCTTTTTCCTGGTAAGGACTGGCCTCAAGTTCAATTTCCATGCTAATAGCTTCTGATTTTGTCATGTCTATACTGGAACCAATAAGTATGAGCAGATTTTTCTTTCCTTTTGTTAATAAAAGGAGTTTCATCGATGTTTCATGTTGCTTAGTTGTGGTAAAAGTCTGGTCACTTCTTGTTTTATTTCAGCATCTCAGGAGGTTATCTATTAAGTCTTTATGGGGTTAAAAGTGAATCCAGATGTGTTTATGCAGTATCTGCTTTAATGCAGTAGGCACAGCTGTTTTTCGGATGTATCCTGGCTAGATTCCAACATGAGCAGTCACATTTTCCCCGTCTCTGAACTGCCTTGTAGTTTTAACTATCAACAAGAGCACAGAGAACCACAATAACATTACTAAGCTTGGTATTTCCAAAAAACATTAATTGAGGGTCCCACTGCTGTAAGAGGAAATTTTAAGAATCAGGTATTTATAAATTCATCTGGAGTTGTGGGGGGGTTTTGCCTATTAGGTTTTGAACCTTTGGGATTGGGTTTCAAGCCTTTTTTTTTGCCAATGGTACATGCTAAAAGCTTTAAACTGATCTGAAAGTGTTGTTTATTCATATAAGACCAAGGGTTCAGGTTTTGGTTTAATCAAAGATCATGAAGCTTAGGATGTAAGTGTGACAGCTGGCCAGATGGCAGTAGCCAATGGCCAGTTGAGAATGTGGGTGGATAAAGGAAAAGCACACACTGATGTAACTTCTTTCTGCTGGAAAGGGGAGGGCCCACAGCTTGGCCCAAGGGCTGAATTTATTTTCTTAAAGGAAAAATGGAATCTAAAGGGGCAAGACAATAATTTCTATGTTCTTAATTAGGCATTAGCAATGTCCAGTTGTTGTCTCTCTTGACAAGGGGAACAGAGATAGCCATGTGTCAGGACCACCATTAGGCATTCTTCTGGGGTGTGTTGTATCTTTCAACCTCTTGGGGTTCCCCTACTTCTGGGTGAAGGTGTTGCCATTTTGTGTTGATTTTCCTGTGGGTTTATGCTTGTTTACTGTGGCAGAGTTAGCTTGGATGGGAAAGTACAGGATTGCTTTTGCGTGTGGAAAAGATGTGACTTTTATTTGAACTCTGTCCCCTGTGGGATGTGTAATGGTAGGATTTGAGTACTGTGTACCTTTTGTGACTGGTTGCCAGACAGGGATTGATGAGCAGGGATGAAAAGAGCTGCAGCCCTAGTATAAAATTGTGTCACCTGGTGCATTTATGAGGCTGCCAGAAACTTTATTTTCCACTTGGAGCTGTGTGTCTAGGCTTGTCAACAGTTACCAAAGATATTGTCTCTTTCTGTCATCTAAAACAGTAGTGTGGCCAAGAAGATGGTCATGATACCAGTTCTGGAGATTTCATTGCACATCTTGATGTCTTCCTTGGAAAATCCAGCATGTGGAGTTACCTGAAGGTAGGAGCTTCATCTTTCCTTTTGAAAGCAAAGTTCTGTTCCTCGTGGTTTCAAGTGAAATACTGATGAAAAAGAACTCTGAAACTGGAAGACAAAAAGATCAACCCAAACTTAAGATTTTAACGCTATTCTCATAATCTTGGATACCTCAGTCATAATATTAAGTAGGGCTGAAATGCTGGTAGCTATTATGTGGTCTCTGTATTTCAATATTTATTTGTTTTATACTAATCAGAGGACAAAATCAATGGAGGGGGAATTATCTGTTTTCAAGATAAAACAACAGCAACATCTAAGTTGTTATGTAATGATTTCTCTAGTATCCACATGATTAACAGCACAAGTTTTTCCTTGTAATGCATCCAACTAGATTCCCTTTCCCTTAACAGTTTTTCTATTGCTTAATTACTCCTTTGTGGGATTTTTCAGAGGGTTTCTGAATTGCATGACACTTGTTAGAGGAAAAAAATAAAGAAACCTGAGCTACCATTGTCTTTGGTTAAATTCATATCTGTATCCAAAGTGCTGGTATTTTCAAACCTTAGGGATCTGCTTAATTCTACCTAGATCCAGATCTAGCTGTAAATTGTATTTAAGTTCAGACTTTCTTTAGTCAAAAGCATGTCTGTGAACTGTGACTCAGGCTTTAGTCTTAAAGTAAATAATTTTTTTTTTAGAGTTAGGAACTTATAGAAGATGAATACCAAAGGGATCTGTGGATAGCTCTCTCTTGATATGCTGCCTACAGCTAAAATAAAACTACTTACAAAGGGCTCCACCCCTGCAATAACTTAAGACACAGTTTAGAGTTGATGTGTGTAACACGCAGACTAGAGGAGCTAGAAACAATTCCAGAGCGTGTGTGCATGCGTGCAACTCTGGCTTTCCCAAGCAAAAGTGAAAACTTGTGAAGAAACTTAGAGGCTGAAGGGGTTAAATGAAATACAACTCTCCTTTTCCTGTGCAGTAAGGATTAGTAACCAAACAGAAGCTGGGGAGAAGAGTGCTTAAGAGCTACTGTTTGAACCAGAACGATAGGAAAGTGGTTTTTGGAGCTTGGCTGCAGAGTGGTGTGTCTTCAACTTTTGCACTCACCTTTCACAGGTACATGCAGAAGGTAAGAGTTGACTTTGTGTTCTGGACTGTCTCCTGATCCTGATCCCTCTGCCTGAATATCTGTTTTTTATTAGTCTTTTCAGTGCTGTTTGTGCTTCTTAAACTACTTTTACCTCCCACCATTTTTTTTCTTCCAGTTAAAAGAGTACAGGGGAGAGGAGAGGCCAGAGTCCTTACAACTGCAAAATTTTATTTCTAAGGAGGGAGGGAAGAAGACACTCTATGTATTTGGTGAATATTAATCCCTTTCACTCAGAGTTAATTACACTGAGACTTAATGTAATCAAAACTGCTATTCCTGACGTTGTGGTTGGGGGGAGCAGGGGAGTGTAAGGGGAAGGTACCAGTTTGATAGGATGCTGGATGAGCCCTCTGGGGTCAGACATACACATGCTCTGCCAGAAAGAACGTAGAAAGCAAGACAAATGTAGCGGGGATATTGTCTGGAGAAACATAATTTTTTTTGGTAGGAATAAAAAACCTGCCCAGGTGCTAAGGCTCTCGTACCCCCTACCTATCACCCCAGCTGAGCTGCTTCTGTTCATGTGCTAGCAGGTGCTGAGGGGAGGGAGTGTCTCCTAATCAGTCTGGCATTGCTTTCAGCTGTGTGAGAGAGGAGCTGTTTGGGAGGCCCAGCCAAATGATGCTGTCAGAGTCAACAGACCTGTTTGTGAAAGGAGAGGTTTGCAGGACTGGCTCCCTTGTCCCCGAGGAAGTCTGATGCGTGAGGCAGGCCAAGAAGGCAGCTTCAGGGACCTGTCCTGGCACGGAGATGGTAATGGGCTGGTAGCAGTGTGGAAGGGTGGTAGATTTGTGTGATGTGCTGGTGTTCCCTGTGGGTGGTCAGGTGGAGAGAGAGGAGCTGTTGATTTTAAAACTGAGCTTCAAAGATTTGGTGAAGGTAATGTTAGTTTTGGATGAAGTTCCTAGGACTAGGAATAACTGATGTTAGTACAGGAGCTTAGGGAGATGGTATGTTTCTTTAGGTCTGTCTGTAGACACCCTAAAGAGTGTTTGTAAACTCCTTTGCTTACTACTTTTGGAAGTGCCTTGGAGTTTGTTTTTTCCTTTTTGCATTGTACTTACAAGGGCCCTTCACTAGCTTCTCCGTAAGCTAGCTTGCAACTTGTGTTTTTCTCCTGGCTTATTAGAGAAGTACCACCCTCTGTAATGCCAGAGCATTTCTCAGTCTCTGTAAATAGAGCAGCCATAAAAAAAAAACATTTTTTTTCTGAGGTGTACTGTGTTGATGAGCCAGTGTGCTACACAGCCATGTGTTGGACAACCTCAGTCAGGACTTTCAGGACAAATGCTCTGTTGCTGCAGGGAGTGAGGGGAGGTGTTTGTGATGTGCAACAAAGATAAGACCATGTACCTTTAGCATGGCACTAGCTTAAACTAATATTTGCTCACATTAATAAATTGAATGGTTAATAAGATGAAAAAAAAAAAATAACAGAGCAAATTTGCTGTCTCTGGAAGTTTTGCTTTTAGCATGTTTTCCTGTCCAGTGTGAGATAATTGAGACTTCTTTTTCAAGCATATTCGCAGGTTCTCACACACTGTGGAGCATCCTGACACCTCAGAGGTGTTTGTTTTTAAAATATTTTGCTTCATGAGTGTAAATGCTTGATGGCTTCATAGAAATGCTGGGGTTGGGATTGTTTATTTGTAGCATTTGCATATTCCAAATCTGTTTGCTAGTGAACAGTCTACTCTGAATGTAGCATTTGAGAAAGGGTGTGTGATGATGGTTTGAGGTGATTCTCAAGCAAGGGTGTAGGATTTTGTTTGCTGGTCTCTCTATATATCTTAAAAAGAATATTAAGTATAAAACGAAATTATCTTAATTTTAAGGGAAAATAGCAATCATTATGCTATAGGGAAGTTAGGGAATGATTGATCTCAAATGTTGCTGTTCAACAAGTGTAGTAACTTCTGATGCAGATCATGTATCTTTGTTTATGGGCTGGGCTTGCTCTCAGATCCAGCAACTTGCCAGCCTGTTAAAAGAGAGTGCTGACAGAGCTCATTTAATCGAGGTGCCTCACAAATTAGGCACCAAGATTCAGTTGGAGTCTGTGTGAATGGCTGTGCCCTGACTTGCCAAAAGGGTTTAGGAAACAGGAAAGAAGTTATTTTGTTGCAACTGGTTTTCTTGGTAGTACTTGAGTTAAAAGAGCAAATTTTATTCTAGAGTAACACAGATGTTCTGTTAAAATAGGGAACCTGGGGGGAAAAAAACTTCGATCTTGATTGAGGGCCCCTTCTTCTGAAGGCAGTGTAAATAAAGCAAAATACTGTTGTGTGCCTCAGAACAGGTAGGGCTTAGTCTGCCAGAAGGCCTTCTCTTTGTTCAGAGGGGGGCTTTAAATGTTAATAAAATGTTAACCATTTTATTAATTCATTTATGTACCTTGTGACTCATCAATGAACAGCAAACATAGCTTTTTTGATAAGATGATGAGAGCTGCTGTTTTGTATAAGAACAGAACCTAGAATACGTAGGATGTGATCACAATGGTTGTTTTCCTCTTGGGTCTGCGGGTAGGATTATACAAAACTGATGATAAACCCCTGAGTGTACCTAGCATAGCTACTGAGCCTAAGCAGCAGTGGATGATTGCTCTGATTCAGTACAGTCATTTGCAGTTATGCCCATGGTATAATGGACTTGTCAAAATAACTTATTTTGCTGGAAATGATACTCTGCTAGATCATTTTTTAACACTCTTGGACCTGATATGTGATTTGTTGTGGTCCAGTCTTGTCTTGGACAATGAATAATAATGGTTACTAGATGTTTGAGAAAGGACTTTTATATTAAAGGATTTGAGTGGGTACTTACTCATATGCATAGTTTGTGTACAAACCATTTCTTTATACTTCCTCACACAGTAACAAGCTTGCCTTCTTGACAAGCAGACATGATGAATAGGAAACAATTGACATCCATAGATTGTTTATTCCTCTGCCTAGCCCTTAAAGCAGTAGTTGGAGGCTCTGGTTTGGGCATCTGTGGGAGAAACCAGCTTCAGAGCAAAGAACCAATTTATTTTTAGATCTCATTGTTGTCATTTTGCTGTGATCACACAGTTGAGCATGTGTTTCCTTTGAGATCTCTCCTGGCACTGCAGTGTGATCGCACCCTCCTAAGATAATTTTTTATGAAGTTAATTTTTAGTGACAGATGAAAGATGGTAGTGCTGGTATCCTTAGAGACTGCAGCCCTAATTCCACTAGCACATGTTTTGCCTCCTAAGTTTGTTAGTCAAAAGTTCTGGGTTTTTTTTTTTTTTTTTTTTTTTTTTTTTCCTTTTCATTTGTTTTAGTTCTCCTCACTTTAGTCATCTTTCCCTTGCAGAGTAATGTAAGTGAGCCCACTGACTTCTCAGGGGGAATTCCTGCTTCATACCACTGAAGGTACATCTGCATCACAGTCAGGAAGGGTGATTCCTTAGGTTCCAGAAACAATGTAGAGGCAGCAGCAATCAAAACCCACATGAGGTTCAGGGTAAATACTCTCATGTTTTCCTGTCAATGCTATTAGCTGCTAAGTAAATTTATTTAAAGGTAACTAACACAGGTGTTCCCTATGTATACTACAAGCATATTGTTGAATGTACTAACATCCTCTCAGTGAACAGAGTTGTAGATCTTGCAAAGAGAGGCAGAAAACAATTTTCATTGTTTTAAAATTTCCTTTTGAGATAATGCTGATCTTTGATTTTTATTTTCTAACCCCTTGCACGGCATAGCAGATTGCCATATTTATATTTAGATAGAATCAAATTAAATAAAATTGGAAGTAATTTTCCAGCATTAAATCCTTCATTTTCCTAAAGAATTCTTCAAAGTTTGAACTGGAAGGGATTAGTCTTAGCTGGCTAACATGTTTGTAAACAGCAGCATTGTTCAGTGTCAGGTAATATTTCAGATCAGGGTAAATAACTCATGTAAGTGAAGCTTAAGCTGTGATAGGACAGTAGTAAATATAAAAGGTTGTTCACCTTTTCTCTTCAATTATGTTAGTGTTTGGGATATTATATCCTTGTCGTGTATTTTTCATAGTGTGTGACTCCTTGCTGCAATGTTAACTGTCTAAATTAGTCTGTGTGCGCTTGTCATTATCCCTGTGTGCTCCCAGATTTAATTAACAGCTAAGCACAGTAAGACTACCAAAATAGAAAGAAGAGTCCTATCTTTATTCCTTATAATAAATCTCTAGCTGCAAACCTAATAGTGGAAGGCTAGTTGCAGAAAATTGAATCTCAGCTGATATTAATAGGTAGACAGAAAATTGTCCTCATGAAATACTGTGTAAGTTCCTGCAAAGGGCTGGCAGAGTGACCACATGTACTTGGAAGATGCTGCTTCACTGACCCTTAGATATTTCATTGTGGATTTTGGAGAGTGAGAAAGAAGCAGGTCTGCCTCTCCCCTACCCCTGACAGGCTAGGGTGTGAGGCCTTACGAGAACTTCTGTGGGTTTCACAGTCTGATCTTGTTCTTGCACCTGGTGATTTTTCAGCTACACTGTTGTGTGATTTCAGTGTTTGGATTAAAGCTGTATGGACAGAGAGTGCTATAGCTTCCCTAGGTGTTGCTGAGCTTGGCATTGTTGTAGAAGTCATCTGTAAAAACATTGTCAGTCTGAGTCAGCCACATTAAGTGATGGCCCAGTGCAGATTTATGTGTCTGTTATGAATCAGGCTGAAGGCTGAGATTAAAGCCTATTGATAGAGCAGTCAGAAGATGCTTGTGTTACCACTACTCAGTTCTCCAGCCAGCTGGTGCTCTGCTGCTGTGCTCGTTAGTATATTTTTGTAACTTCTTTTTCATTTAACAAGGTGAATTTTAAAGTAATTCTAGCTGAAAGTTTATCTTTCATAATATGGCTGAAAGTATATCTCAGCAGGATTACTTCCTTGATGAGGATTTTTCAACTCTTAGCATGTATTTAGAGTGAATTAAGGATACCAGTGGTAAAAATACTTCCGT